TGGATGGATGGATGGATGGATGGATGGATGGATGGATGGATGGATGGATGGATGGATGGATAGATGGATGGATGGATGGATGGATGGATGGATGGATGGATAATGTTCTTTATAAAATAACTGTTATGGATGTCGCATTCTGATTGGAGCGCGTGCTTTATGAGAGAACATTGTACGCGCGCGCACTTTCCGTTGCGTCATTCCTATCTATTATTGTAATTTGTATTTTATAATAGAAATAAAAAACTTGCTTGCTGTGCTGTGTGCAGTCATAAAGCACTTGGGGGTTGGCAGAACACTTGAAAAGGGTCGAGAAGCACACTTCGCTACGCGTCGTGCTTCTCCTAACACTTTTCTCGTGTTCTGCCAACCCCCGCGTGCTTTATGACAGCACACAGCACGCGCGCGCGTTTTCTATTTCTTCAATATACCGTGTTATTGGCGAACCACGTGATATCTCCTTCATTTCCGGTGTAAAAGAATATCGGTCCCCCTGTCTTCCACTGTTTTCTGTTCACTAAATATCTCTGTTGGAAAGTCTCGTTCTTCTCAAAGTTGAAGTGGTCTAACTGTTAATATATAAAAATATACAAAATACTATTACAGTATAAAATAGGATTGAACGATTTTGCAAAGAGTTAGGATTAACAACTTCATGGTAATTTGACTTAGGCCCCGTCCACACTTATCCGCAAATTTTTGTATCCGTAAATTTTTTTTTGCGGACACAAAAATGTTTGCGTCCACACGCAGCGTATTCGAATCGTTTTCGCCGTCCACACGTGTCCGTTTTCGTAGAATTTCCGGATACGGATACAAAAATTTCCGGTGACGTGTGGACGCAACCCGTATCCGCAAAAAAAAAAATTGCGGATACAAAAATTTGCGGATACGTGTGGACGGGGTCTTATATATACTTTAAGCCTATATATAGTTCTCAAATGCATTAATAATTAATGAGGCCAATGACCAATGGCGACTTTGCATTGTAGTCACGTACACGCACCCTGATGCTTGATCAAAAGCGGATCAAGACACTGATAAAAACACAGAGCCGTAACCAGAACTTTTACCGGGAGGGTGCACGTCGAATAAAATCGAGAAAAAAAAGGTAAGCAAAAGAAAGCAGAACCAAAAAAAAAAACAAAAAAAAAAAAAAAAAAAAAAAAAAAAAAAAAAAAAAAAAAAAAAAAAAAAAGGGGGGGGGGGGGGGGGGGGCTTGGGGGTGGGGGGGGGGGGGGGGGGGGGGGTGCTCTCCCCCCTGGTTACGGCACTGAAACACTGACGAATAAACGATATAATTGCGAAGGAAGTTTAGATTCACGAGATTCAAGAACAAATGAATTATAATGAGTTTGAGAAGTCATTTCCAAAACTCGTGCTTCGTGTTTGATCCAGGCATCCAAACACCGAGAAACAACATCTGTTGCTCGGTGTTGGATGCCCTGATCAAACACGAAGCACGAGTTTTTGATCTATTACATCGTCAGGCATCATGATTATCATCACCTATTCTATTTTTATGTCTAATGTCAATTTTAATTTTGTTTTTGTATATATACATATATTATATAATTTGTGTGAAACGCTATTGATCTGCTATCATTGTTAATATAAGTAATAAATTATCATCATCATCATCATCATCATCATCATCATCATCAATATGAAGGCTACTTGTAAAGGTTTTCCAGCTTCGCAGTGAATTGTCTATCTTTAAATGATTCGTTATTGTTAATCATTAATCTATTCCTTCTCCTCTTTTATTCATTTATTTCCCCTGTTTGGTTTTGTTATTTTTCCGATTCAATTTTATAATACCGAGGCTTGGTCTTCCTGTGGTCGGATACGGAAATGAACTGCAGTGCTGAATCAAACAAAATGGTATAGCCCAAAATACAAAGAGTAGTATAAAAAATAATAATAATAAAGAACTTGGTTATCGTTTGTGTGCATATTCGAAAGTCCCTCCAAATTTATTTGCTCGTCTTCATTAGCTTTTGGATATAGAATGCTTTCTTGAAATATCTTTGTTTTCAGTGACACCTTTTTACTGGTGTTGTGCTCCAGAGACTCAGCCGCGTGTCGACCTTGAGCCGAGAGAACTTACAAACGAGYTGCAATAATTAATTGTACAGTTCAGAATGATTACTTTATCAGAACCGCTGGAACCAGAGCTCAGTTAGAGTAAATTGTGCTACTTATATTAAGCTAGTTTTAATATTTAAAATTTATCGTAGTCTTGTTCCTACATTTATTTAAAAAAACTGATAATAATAAAATTAAAATGATTATTGATTGATTTGATTATTGACCCATTCTTCACAGAGATTTTAGATAGTCGAGTGTCCATTGACTGTCCGCGTTCCTAATCAAAGATCAAATAACTATGGAGCATGCATATGACTTTACCTTCTGTTCGTAGTATTTGGTTTCGTATTTACAGTACGGACAAATAGTTTTCTTCGCTGCTATTTCGTGGTCGCTCGTTCGTTGATTTGGAAAGCGAGCCTTCAGTCGGAAAGATTCGCCAAAACTAGACGTCAGAAAAAGCACAAAAACTACTATCAATACTCTGTACACAGCCATCACAAGTTTGGTTTATCTAGCCGTGAGCACTGTCATCTCATATGCCCCAAGCTATGTAATATAAACCACTCCAATCAAAGCCTTGGAAGTTTTTTTTAACCGGAAATCACGCTTATTTCACATGACAGACATCTGATGTGTCACTCTCAGTGTCATAAAAATGTGTTTTACATGTCGTCTCGGTTCAGTTGTTTCCATAACATCATAGCGGGTGGTTGTGCARCTTAGCTTTGCAAGTTGAATTTTGGTTTTCAATTAATGTACATTATTTGGTAGTGGAAAATAAAAATACGGGAAATATTCCTAGCTCCTAATCAAGCCCACGTTAGTTTAGTGCTGGAATAGTTTTCGTATTACTGTTAAAAAGCTCAGTGCTGCATGCGTGTGCCATTCCGTGACCGTGATGTTTTCTAGAATTTTAATTAGAGCAGTTTCCGTATGACCGTAAAAAGCTCAGTGCCCTTAAAGCGTACCTTGCCGTGAAAGTAGTTTTTTCTAGAATTTTAATTGGCTGATTTTTTTTTCTTGCGCCATTTGATTGGTCTTGCAGTGCCGTGACCTGGGCGTGACCAAGTCCTTGCCTTGCTCGTTACATGTTCCGGGCATTTGATTGGATGCAGAGTAAATTCTCGAGCAATGTGATTGGTCTAGTGTATTCCTTTGCTGTGTCACGTCCGTGTTAGTGCCGTGAGCCTTTCACTGTCATACTGCACAGGTAGCCCAAGCTTGGTTTCTGTGGTGTCCTGTTATAAGGAAATGTATGGGGAATCATCAAAAATTTCAATAAAATCATCAAAACGTGAAATAAAGCCTCGAAATTTTACCTAATCATTGAGAAATAGCACTTCTTTCGCTCTGCGTGGTTATTTTTTGAATTTAGCCCGTTTTAAGGATTTTTTCTTACTGGTGGGGAAAAAAATCCTTAAAACGGGCTAAATTCAAAAAATAACCACGCAGAGCGAAAGAAGTGCTATTTCTCAATGATTAGGTAAAATTTCGAGGCTTTATTTCACGTTTTGATGATTTTATTGAAATTTTTGATGATTCCCCATACATTTCCTTATAACAGGACACCACAGAAACCAAGCTTGGGCTACCTGTGCATACTGCTGCATAGACACTAATGCATTCATGATTGTATATTGTTACGGCACGGCATGGCAATGGTAAACTACGGATTTGTTGGGCAATGTACCATTTTCCGGTTCTATTTCCAAAGGCGAATTGAGTCTATTTTGACTTACGGTATCTCTTTTCTCCAGTTCAACCAACTTTACAAAGATCTTTTCTTTCAAAGGCATACAGCTGGATTCTTGTATAGTGTTTAACGACTCAAAAGCCCGACTACACTTATCTGGCGACCAACGTTTGCCACGTTGTAGACTTACCACAAGTCAATCTTATCAGTGTTTCTTCACTATATTCCCTGTCAGTGGAGTTACAGTAGCTTGAAGCGTGGGAAAAGGCTCTCGAAGAGCAGGTGCTCGAGGAGGGAAAGAATAACATGTGCCTATTTGGCTTGGGCTACCTGTGGACAGTTCTAAATCCAAAAATTCAAGATGGCGGACGAGGAGTTGGCTGGATTGAGGGCGAAGAGAATGGCTGAATTACAGCAACAACTAGGGGTAATATTTCTCCCTAGTACACTTTTAATTATTTACTTGGTTCATAACTAATAAATTTCTTGTTTTTAGGGCCAAGATATGCAAAATCTACAGCAGCAGCAACAACGACAAGAAGCGATGAAAAGGTTAGTGTTTGGAGCTCTCTGTCGTATAAACTATGTGCATGATGTAAGAATAATTATACTTTCTTTAATATCAGTTCTTAGATAATCTGGAATAACTTACGCTTGTATATTTAAAATAGCGCCGTGACTACTGCACTCTATCTAGCCATTATTAAAGGAATACCTATCTCTCCATCTATGACAGTTATTTGAGCATATTAATAAAGAAAAACATCCTTTAGCGTACGAGTCAGATTATTTGTTTATTGTATCGTTAAATTGAATGGCTTAGTTCTAATTCCATTTGAAAATTGTTCTCTTATTTAAGTTCGAACGAAAAGCAAGGAGATTTGGGATGAATGTCATGTAGTAAAAATATCTGTCAGCATATTTCTATTTGTTGATTAGCATTTGTCACCCCATTTGACCCCCCTCCCCTTCAGAATTTACAATTTCCTCCTTGGGTGGGGTATGGACATTTTCTGGAACTACACATTATGTTAGTTACATATGTTTAGAAAAAATTACTTTTTGTCACTAGCTGAAAGGAACTCAGGAAAAAAATCAGAGTCCCTGATAGGAATCGAACCGATGACCTACRGGATACCAGTAAGATGCTCTGCCACTGAGCTACAGGAACACTCATGATGAGCAGCCATTTATTAGCTTTTATTGTGTTTTTTAGTATAATTTTTAACTTGAATAAAGAGTTTCTTGAGCTGAGATTGTTTGAGCGACCCAAAAGTTTACCAGAGCAGAAGTAATACCAAAGTATTTTTTATCCTGAATTTCAACTCTTCTTTGATATAACATACAATTATACTTATAACTATTAATTATTATTTAACTCAGGCTCATTGACCATTGGTAAATATTTACCTCACTGCCCGAAGACTTACAGCTCAGTAAATTAACTATAATTAATTAGACGTGGGTTCGATTCCTGCCAAGGGCATTTGATATTTTTCTCTTATTCTCTCTAAATTAACTAATGATCACTCCACCTTTGGAAATATTTGTTAATTATTATATGAACACCATTGTTGTTATTTTGCCAGCTGTTTTAAGAAGTATCCATATCTGATTTAACAGGGAAAATGAAATGAGAACTGCATTGCTATCTCAGATATTGGATCAGTCAGCCAGGGCAAGACGTAAGTTTTATAATAAATTAATATAGATTTAATTAATGAAGRTCATTATTTATGATTTAATTATTACCCGCTAAGCATTGTGCTTCTAACACTTTTCTTTTGTTTTACCGCAACTCTCAAATGCTTTATAACTGGGTATGAATAGAAGTAAACAATACGCCCCCAAATCAGTGTCACTAGTGTGTCTCATGGTAGGATGTTGGTAGATTGTGGGTAGGTTGTCAGTACAGGTGTGGTGTCGGCCAATACTCTATCAACACCAATTTAGGGGTCATATTATTTACATCTATTACCTTATCACTGCACAGAGCATTTAATTTTATTTCTTCAATTACTTAATCAAACTAGTACAGTATGTTTGGAATTTTGAAAATTAAAACTGTAAAAAAATGTAATCTGACAATGYCATACTTTAGTTACAGAAGCTGAAGGCCCGCTAACCCATTAGTTTTTTGTGTGTGTTTCTGCAAATTCTACATGGGTTATTGGATTGATCAATCACCT